CGGCTCTGGGGAGGGGCGCCCCGGGCCCCTCTTCAGCCCCCCAGCAAGAGCGGAGCTCAGGCACCCCTAGTCCCGGGCTGGGATCACTTAGCAAGAGGGCGGACGGCCCCACCCCCGCCCTTGAGGCGGGCAAACAGCCCAAAGCAATCGCCGTGCACAGCACGTGAACATCATGTTGCTCTGATTTCACGATCCACAGAGGTTTGCCCGGGACACGTGCCACAGCGGCCTCAGCTCGCCCAGCAGAGGGGCCGCCTGGACCCCCAAAACAGGCCACGCACGCCCGAGTCATCCTGGAAAAGGCCCTCGGCCTGCTGAGGCTTGACCCTGGGGCCTGGACCCCCACAGTGTGACCTCAGGGCTCTGGTCCCCCTGACGTGACCCCGGGGTTCCTGCCCCCCACCCTGGCGTGACCCAGGGGAGCAGGCAACCCTCCTTACGCCGCCCCTGGGTGGCTGCTGACACTGCCTCTGCGTTTCAGCTCTCGGCTGCTGCCACAGGAGGCTTCCAGCAATTCAGGAAGGGCCGACTGCTTCTAGAAGCTTCTGTGCTAGTCAATGGCACTTTATTTTTGGAATTCAGCACACGTCTAAGTCTCTGGTCACCACAGATGAGGCTCCCAGGAGACACCCTGTGGCTGGGGTGCGGCTTCGGTGTCCCCAGACCCAGGCCAGGCATGTGGGGAGCACCCCAGGTGCCATGCCCGGCTTTTCTGTGCATCCCGGTCACCTCCGGGCCCTCCCCTTCCTCCTGCACCCCGGGTGACCGGAACCTGGCCATGGACCCCTCTGGCGGGAGGCAGGACCCGCCATGGGTGACCCACAGCCGCCGGCCGCGAGCACCTTCCGGGAGGATGGCTCCCGGGGATCCGCGGGCCGGGGCCGCATGTGGATGGGAGTGGACGGGAGCCCTCACCTCCGGCCCCCTGGGCTCAAGCGCGGCGCCCAGCCCACCAGCAGCCCGCGGCGGGGCTTACCCTGCTCCATCATCTCCAGCAGCCCCTTCTTGATGAGCTCCTCCCGGCCTTGCCTGCCGGCCATCTTCTTCTCCAGGGCTGCAGGACACAACGTCTGGTCAGTGCTGGGCTGCCCGGGGGAGGGCAGGGGGTTGCCCACAGCCAGGCAGGCTTTGTCAGGACCCATGGCTGGGAGCTCTGCACCACGCACGGGGAGCCCTACGCTGTGACCCTGCGGACAGCGGCCCTCTCTAGAGCGGCCCTGTCACCCCCAAATGCTCTTCAACCCACCGGCCAAAGAAGCAGCCTCCCTGCCCCACACCCAGGACTGCCCAGCAGCCTAGCCGGGCCCCTGGAGGCCTGCGGTCTGGCTGAGGAGCAGCCGTGCCTGTGGTCATGGACCCCAGGCCAGTGGCCCCCAAGGCCCCCTGGTGAACCAGCAGGGGAGCTGACCCTTCCCCCGCGCCCAAAGGGTCAATCCTGACCTCCTGGGCACTGGTCCCACCTGACCCCTCCTTGTCCTGGCCCCTCTGGGGCTGGGCTGGCACTGCCCCCGGGCGGGCTCCTGCGCCCATGCCCACAACGGAGGGGGTTTCCCAGCATGGAGCTTGTCCACAGGCCAGGCGAGGGCCAGGCGAGGGCCAGGTGACGCGCCTCTGCAGGCCCAGTGGACATGCGACCTCCTGGCGAGTCTGATCCGACAACAGGCGGCCACAGCAGCACGGGCCTGTGATCACGGGGCTGGCCCTGAGCGGCTGAGCCGCCGGGAGCAGCGGCCACGGGGGGCAGAGG